GGGATCAAGCCCACAACCCAGGCATGTGCCCTTGGCCAGAATTGAACCTGGGACCCTTCAGTCCGCAGGCTGACTATCTATTGAGCCAAACCAGCTAGGGCATGCGTGTGCTTCTGGCATTGGCTTTTGAGAGGAGAGTGAGGGAAAATTTGGGGAGGGAGGTGATTCCCACCCCTGGGAATGCCGACACAGATGGCATATGAGTGAGACTGTCCCAGATTCTGAGTGGAACTCAGTCACCCACTCCTGTGGGGCATCATCGCTGAATGTGGCTTTATATTGCAGGTGAACAGGGTGAGTCTGGAGACCAAGAATCCTCATCTGTTACCCCCATAGCTGAACCTCTGAAGGGCAGGGCAGGGCAGGGCTGCTCCCCTCGCCCTTTCCTCAGCCTGGGGTTACACCCTGTTAAGCCAGAGTGCACCCTCTTTTCCTGAGGTTGCAGCTACCCGACTTTCAGGGTCCTACCAATGTGGTCATTACAGCTGAGCCTCAAACAACGTGGGGGTTAGGCACCGAATCCTCCCTCACCCCCATTGAAAACCCACGTGCAATTGGACTCCCCCAAACCTTCCCTACAGCCGTCCCTCGGTATCTGCAGGGGGGCGGCTCCAGCACCCATGAATGCTCAGTCCCTCGTAGGAAATGGTGTAGAGCAATGCATACAGTCGGCGTTTGGCCTCTGTAGACTTGCAATTCCCTCTCGTAGGAGAGCGCATTCTCCCTAATTCCTCCACCATTGATTGATTCCCACCCTGGGTGAAAATACTGATTTTGATTTGCGGTTGGCTGAATCCACAGATGGGTTAGAAATGCAGGGACAGGGAGGGCCGCTGTGTATTCTGTGAGAAAGCTCCGAGCGCCAGTGGACCCGCGCAGTCCAAACCCGCGTTTCTCAAGGGTCAGCTGCATTGGTTTGGGCAGGTGTTTTCCGGGGAAGGGAAGGGGAACAGTTTGAGTTCTAGCCTGTCCTGCTGAGTGTCAGGGCAAGATGCAGAGAGGTGACAATAGCAACAGGGTGGGGGTGGGTGGCGGGGGGAGGGATGAAGTCGAAAGCAAGGTTGGTGCAGAAACTCCGAAATGCAAATGTTCTGTCTGCCAGCAGGAGCTGGCTACATTTGTAGTTTGCGCTCAGAATAAGAATTATTCTGTTTGAAAGGAACAATGGCCACAGTTTGTCTAAAAAGAAGGCGTGTTTAAGGAGACCTTCGGAGGAGTACATTCATTTTCTGACGGTAACTGAATGGTGGAGGAATTAGGGAGAATGGGCTCTGCTGTGAGAGGGAATTGCAAATCTGGAGGGCGAGCAAAGATTTAAGTTGGTGAAAAGTTCATTTTTCTGAAGATGAATCTCTAACCAGCAGCTCCATTCAAATTCTGTGTCTGCTTTGCAAACAAGGTTCCTGCTTTTAGGGCTTTTTCATTGTTGTTGTTAAAGAAATGGACTTAATGGACTGAGTTCATTTAGATGGAGGATCAAATGAATGAGTGGAATCAGAAGACATCCATTTGGCCGTCAGTCTTTGTTTAAGCCACTCGACCACCCAACTTCTCTACTGAAATGGCATCGCAGTCCCCATATAAAGTCTGCGGCGGAGAAATGCGTGCGTGCTAAGTGCTTTGAAGATGAACATCACCACGCGAAAGTGAGCAAGGTTTCTTCCTGGGGCTGGAAACGGCATCTTTTGTGTTTTCCTGCTGCACCATGAGTCACCTCGGTTCACACTGCAGAAAATTTCCTCTCCCGACAGAAGAGCAGGAGACACAGTGGTGACAGGCTTTTATTGGGTTTGCCAGGCCAATTAAGAAAGAGCGGGAGCCCATTCACATCTCTACAAGGGATTACACACCGGCACATTTGCTACCTATGGATGCAGGTCACATTTTACATGAATCTGTACATTAAGAAATTGCATGACAATTATCTTATTGAGACATGAATGAGGAGCAACCATCCCCTGAAAGCACTGAAGACCGACAAAAAGCATTGTCCCTCCAGCAAGCTTGGCTCACCTCTCTCAGTGCACGTAAAGATCCCATCAAACCCTCGCCCAAACCAAGGGGATGTTGAAGTTTATCTGCTTGGAAGATGTGAGTATTTTTAGTGGGAGGAGCTTAGAAGAACTGCAGGTTTGGAAGTGAAGTGTGAACTGTTGGGCAAGACCCAGCCCCGTCTGTCTGTCTGAATCTGGCCCTGACCGATCAACCCACTGGCTCCCAGGGAAAGAAGCCAGCAAGGTGTCCCATGTCCCAGGCTTGGCAGGAGTTCTCCTCCCCACACCCAAATACCTCGTTTGTCTGTTTTCCGCCTGCCGACTGCTGGGACACAGTGATAATTAGTCATGCTAGATTGTCGGGTTGACAATTACTGGTAGTTTTGACAGGCCCCTTCAGGAAGATTGCACGACCCCCATGCAAGTTTGGATCCGAGCCACTGGTGGCCGCGCTCCTTGTTGCGCCCAGTGGGGAACTCGGTGCATCACTGTCAGCCTGGTAGCACCTCCCTCCCAGCTGCACCCCTAAATTGGTCATAGCTGAGAGAAAGGCATTCACAGCATGGCGAGCAGGGTCCACTCCCTCTGAGGGGAGGAGTGAGGGGAGCTCACTGTGGGGAGGGGGCTGAGGGAGGGAGTCGTGGAGGTGGAGAGGAGGTTGGATGGATCAGAGAGAATTGCAGAGCTGCTGGATGAGGTCCTGAAAATGGGCTAAAATGACCAAAGGGAGGAGAGAAAACTCCTCTCAGACAGATTCAGATGCAGGCAAAGTCCAAGAGACCTGGAGGAGTTAATGGGAAAATAATTCTTCTTATCTGCTTCCTGCCAACCTGTAACCATTGACAGAGCAGAAGTAATTATAGATACTGTAGACGCATGCGGCATTAAGTAAAGGGTTTCAAATTACACTGCTTAACAACGCTTCCTGGTGCTGGCCGAGTGCGTGGAGCCAGCAGGTAACACTGCAGGGCATGGTGCGGTCGCTTGCAGAAGTTTCTCCCTCTGCGCATGTTGCTTCCCAAGAAAACTTGCTCCAGCGAAAAGGGGAAGAAAAGAAGACGATACTAATTTGGTTTCTGTTGAATATTTAGAATGTCATTCACATAGTTGTCTTAGCAGAGTAAGCTGACATATTGGGAGGATTTTCATAGTTTGCCTTGTAGGAGCCAAAAGCGGGGTCAGCACTGAAGATTACAATCAATTCAGTGGAGGGAAAATAAACCTTTGGAATAGATTTTGCCTTCCCGGAGCACGTAGCAGGCATTAGCAATAATGGGAGCGCTGTCTGCGCATGGAGAGGAAGCATCTATCGCTCAGACTCCCACACGTCCTCGCCCGGGGTTGTGTGGTCCCATAACCTTCACAGCGGGTGGGAAGATTCTAGATTCATCATCTCCTAACTTTATGCTGCTATGTGCAGGACCACACACACACTTGCATACACACACACACACACACACACACACGAGCATTCTTCCGTTGTGGAAGAGACGGAGGACAAGGAGATGGAAGCTGCTAAAACAGCCCACATGGATGAGGTGACCGAGCCTCGCTGGGCATGGACGTGAACTGACTCTATTTGCCCTTCGTGGTGGCTGTGCCATCTTTGCCCGGCTAAAGTTGCCCAGTTTGCTGGTCTTCCCCCACTTCAGGGAGCACTGCAGAAAACAAAAGAGGGCCAGGACCTTCCCTAGGGCTCCTTCAGTCCCCTCTGTGTGTCTGCCAGTACTTCTCGAACAAGTGCAGGGGCAGCAGGAAACGTGAAGCCAGGCCATGGGAGAGCGCTGGGTTTGCTAGGTGAGATGGCCCACTGGCTGTTTTTATGCCTATGCGTGCCTTACGCATTCCATTCCTTAATTTTAAGACAAGGATGAGTGAAGTATGGCAGAGAGATAATAAAGCGCACTCTACCCTTGTCTCAGTAAAATAAGTCACCGCGGACATGGCACCTACATTTGCTGCTGTTTGCTCTCTAACGGAAACCCAGATAACAGCGAAATTTTACTGAGAGCATCTGTGTAGCCATTTATGTTTTTCACCTATCCTTGCTAGAGGCCTCACTGGTCGAGAGGCAGGAGCTGGCCGGGGTCCTGGCCCAGCTCAGCCACCATCTAGCACTGTGACTTTGGGCAGGTCAGCTCTGCCAGCCTCCCTCCTCACTGCAGCTCAGGCAGGAGGGCTCTCCAAGGTCTTTGCTGCTCTTGAGTCCCGGAGAACTCCACCGGGGTGGTGCTCAGCAAGAACTGCATTGAAGTAATCGAAAATCATGCCAGAACCTGTAAAGGCCTTTGAAAGGGAAGGAAACGTTGCAACATGTGGTTTGTTTCAGTTCTGTGATTTAGCTGCTCCAAAGATTGAAATGGCAAGGACAGGCTGACAGGATTGAAGCCCCTCACAAGTCGAGGGAGCTGGCCAGAGTGCTGAATCCAGACCTTGAGGGCTGCTCAGCTCCCAGGGCCCTCACCCTGCTGGTCAGCAGTAATTCCCTCAGCACAGAGGAAGGCAAGGGTGTTCTCAGCAAGCTCCAGACCCAGAGCATCAGGCATGCAAACAGCTGGTGGATTCCGGAGTCCATTGCATTGATGGTTCCCAGGTCTGTTAGAACTGTTTTTCATTTAGGACAGTTTGGGAACAGCTTTGGAAGGAGTGCCCCGCTGTTCAAATGAATATTAATAGTGTGGGTCTTGGCGCAAAGAAAATATTTTCTTCAGTTCAGTATCTGGTAAGTATCCAAGAAGGAAAAAGCCCCTCGGTGTTAAAAGGCTTGGGATACGGGGGCGTGACGAGCCTTCTGAAATCAGGAATCGCCAGTACCAGCCGGGAAAAGAACTGTGCTTACCAAACTGCCTGAGCTTCCCAGGTGCCCCCTAACTAAACACTGTCTCCCCTCAACAACTTATTTCTTGCAGAAAATACCAACGTGTCTCTTTCTTGTTGCTGTGCGGTGTATCAATAGTCTCAAAATCTTCGAAAACCAAAATGCTTGCACCAGAGCTGTACCCCCATCAACACCCCAGTGCTCATCACCCGTCCCCACTCCAGAAAGAGAGCCAACGGGTGGTGCCCGCCGGCCAGGAAGGCTGCCCTGACTCCGGGGAGGCGGGCCTGCCCCTGTCCCCACCATCGAGGAGGCAGTACGCACAGTTCTTCTTTAGCCCGAGGCCCAGCTTCCCTATTAACATAGACACAACACTTCGCTGAAGCTGAGGTATAAGACATTTTCTGCTTGGCGTGTTTTATGTCCCATTATTATTTTCCCTGCATGTCACATGCCTCTGGTGAGAACGTGTCTGGTGCAAGGTTTTGGGGGAGGGGCCCCCCCCACACACTTAAACCAGAGAAGGAGAGATGGGCTCATACAGCAGTTCATTGGAAGCCTCTCCCTCAGCTCTCCCAGGAGGTCGGGACTCCAGAGAGGTCTGTCCTGCTGGAAAGTTCCTTGGCACCCGTCCACGCCGTCACCAGCCTCCCAGGGTGGCTGGCTCCCCTTTTTCTGGGAATCTACGGTGCTGCTACGTGTCTGCTTTCTCATCGTGGCTGCAGCAGGAGTAATAGGTTACTGCTGCGCATGACTTATGGAATGAGACCGGAGGCAGGGCAAACATTCATCGGCTCTGAGAGTGGAGGAGTCCATTCAGTGACAACCTCCCCCCTCCCCCAACCCCAACAACATCACCACCACCACCACGGTTTAGTTCTTGTTTCCATCAGGTGGGAGAGACCAGAATGGCACATTTGCACATAGGCTATTCACAGCAATGAAGAAAAGTGGATGGAGTCGATACAAGCTCCCCAGTGCGGGGGTTTCAGAGGGAGGAAACCCAGAGCAGGGGAAGCCTGTCTCCATGGGAACAGTGGGGCTTGGCAGTTGTCCCACAAGAGGTCCCATTTCCTAAAGTTAGAGGAGGCACCCAAACTCCCATGCAAGACACGGAATCTGGTCAGAAGTCAGAGGGTTTCCACAGGGTGGTGTGTGCACCCTCTCGGCCCCTGGGTTTCCGTCAGCGGCGGGTAATCGAAGTCCCTGACGTGGATGTTGTTGGAGCTCCTAGGGGAACCCAGAGGGCTCCTGAGCGTCTCCAGAAGAGACTCATGCACAGGGCCGGGCTCCTCAGGAGCGGGGAGCAGGGGCCGACACCAAAGCAACTCAGAGAGTCGCCCAGGAGAAGCGGGCGGCAGCGAAGAAACCCACAGGCATCTTCTCGACGTGACCCGCAGCCATTTCTAGAAACAGCTGCTGGTCGCAGCCCCAACAAACTCTGCAAAGAGAAGCTGGTGGAAAGCTGAGGGGCAGCTGAGGGGAACCAGTGACCCGGACACGTGCACATCGTCCCTGACCGAGGAGGCCGATGGGCTGGGGCCCCCACCCCGAGGCAGCGGCGGCTGCATTACCCAGCTCTCGTCTGGCCGAGGTTACGTCCGCCTCTCTCAGGGCCACCTCCTCCGACAGCCGCAGTCCCACTAATAAGCCATTGACCTCAAGTTTGAGTCTGGGGCTGATTTGCTGCTGTCTGGGGGAACCCCAGGGGCCTGTGGCTTAACGGGAAGAGATCCTCATTTTAGCAGCAATAGCTTTTCCTCTCTTCCCGCCACAGTGATCAAATTAGCAGCTGCTTCTCCTCAGAGAAAATGTGTCCGCGTCCCGGAGGCATTGCCCATTTGCCTGTCTGATGGGTTGGGGAAGGGGCAGCAGGGGGAGGGGGGCGTTGTTTGAGAGCAGCTGTCCCTCCCTTCCCCGGCCCCGCCCGGGAGGGTCTCCCCCACCTGGGAGGGCGGTGCCGCAGGCTTAGCTGCAGGAGGCCTGGCAGGTGGCGGAGTACACGCTGCTCCCCACTGTGCCCCCACTGCTCAGGCTGCTGGTGGGACACTGCAGGGGCTTCATGCTGCTGTCCCTCTGCATGTGCAGGCGCTCGAGCCGCCAGCGCTCCCACCTCTTCCGGAACTCCAGCTGGACCTTCCGTGGGAAAAGGAGGGGGACAAAAGCCATCATGCAAACCGACTGCCCACAGGATGGCCGTTATTACATTAGCAGGAAGGGAAGCATCCACTGCATTGCATTAAGAGACACAAGTCAAGGCCTTCGGGCGCCTAAATTAATATCCCAATAAAACTGTTTATTGTTGTCTCCTATTTTCCGCCTGAACTCAGGAGGGAGATGGGCTTGATGGCTTAGTGGGTCCCTTCCATCTCTAAACTCTGACTCGCCTTAACAATCCATCTCGGGATCACTTAGCCGAAGAGAACGGGAGGGAGGAAGGCGGGGAGACAAGAAGGAGAGAGAATCTGACTCTTCAGCTTGGATGACAGAGGAGAGGGAAGCATGTCCCCCCTCACGGTGCCCGCCCCAGCCCTTCTAAACGCCCCGGGCTTCACGGGGAGGGAGCAGCAGTGAGGAGGGGGCCATGGACGAGGGCTTCTCTGCCTGTGCTTGAACTAATCCCATCCAGGAACCAGTCCCGACCCGACCCCAGGGGTGAGGCCAGATGAGGTCAGTCAACCAGGACCTCTGCTGTGCTGGGCTCCGGCTCCCTTGGGAAAAGCCTTCTCAAGAGGCTTGGTGCTTGGGGACCCCGTTGTTGGGCACAGAGATCAACTCCAACTGACACTGTAGATCCCCGAGTCACCATGGGCTTGTGGCCATGCCCTGGTGACTCAGGTCCCCCGGGGGCTGCTGGGACCTGCACGTCCAGCCCAGGGCGCCTGGAGGGCTCCTCTGGGGACGTTCCCATAAGTGCTTCCCAGAACTTCTCCTGTGCCCCACCCTGGCACCCAGGCCTCCCCACACCGGAATGTTTGGAGCCTGATTCCTCCCTTTCCAGCCCCTGCCACCTGGATGGCCAGCTGCCAGCATCCAGAGGAAACAGCTCGCTGCCAATGCCCCATCCGCCCCTGCACAAACACCCCTCTTCTCCTGCTGCTGCAGGCCGACATCTACCCAGCTGAGCCCATCAACACCGCTCGCCACCCCTTAAAAGAATGTCTTCTGCACTGAGTGGAGAGGGGGTGCCAAGGGCCTGCCTGCCAGGACGGGCCAGGTGCCCCAGGCCACGCCATGGAGCCCAGGCCCGGGTGCTGAGGAAGGGGGAGTGGACGCGTGTAGCCCCGCCACGCGCCAGCTCCCTGCCCAGCAGAGTGTGTGTAGAGTGTGTGCTCACAGCTGAGACGGGGACATCTGAGACAATGGTGGCCTCTGTGCAGCAGCCATTAACTGGGGGTATGAGGGGAGAGATGGTAAACTGAGGCACATTCATGGGCAGCCACCCCAGGGACTGAAGGGGTCTCTTGGACCCCAGCAGGAAACCGGACAGGACCAGGGCTCTCCAGTGTGCTGGCACCGTGCCTCTGTGCCCATCAGCCGCGGCACTTTTCCCGAACCCCCGCTGCGGTCCCCTCATTACACAGCATCGGTTATTGGGAGCTACTACATGCAGCATTTTCCATGGATTATTTTAGTTAAATTTCACAGCAACCCTGTGAACAGCTCCTGGCAGAGGGCCCCGAGGTGCGTGGTATTTAAGTATTTCTCTGGGCCCGGCTGGCCTGGCTCAGCGGTGGAGCCAGGTCACAGTTAGAGTCCCGTTAGGGCACATGCCCAGGGTTGCAGGAGGCAGCCGATCAATGATTCTCTCTCATTAATGTTTCTATCTCTCTCTCCCTCTCCCTTCCTCTCTGAAATCAATAAAAAACTATTTTAAAAAATATTTCTCTGGGTCTCAGCCAGGATTTGAACTGATTGGGGCTGACTCCAAAGCCAGTCTCCAACCCGCCGCCCCTGCCTCCCCTGACTCTCTCGGCCATATTTGTTTCTGCCCCCACCACCCCCAAATCAGGTGGGAGGGCCAGCACCACACCTTCCTCACCTCACTTGTCCCGAACCTGACACAGTGCCCGGCATATAGTCGGTACTCAGTGTTTCTTAAAGGAGCCGAATGAATGAATAACGAATAAGCACCTGACGTTGGGCTCCTTGTTACTAGGTTATTAAGATGGAGCCACAAGGACACCGACGCAAGTGTGGACCTGTTCCAGCGCTGCACCCCTAAGTTCACCCCCATCCCTGCCTCCCACAGCCTCTCTGGCCGGGCACCGAGCCAGGCTCTGGGGTTGGGGGTGAACTGGTAAAGCTCATTCACCACCATCTGCACTTGGGGAGAGAGGCAAGGCGATTGCCGGCCACACAGCCAGGCAGTGTCAGAACGGGGCCAGCACGCAGGCTCCGGAGTCAGAAAACAGGAGCTGCCACAAGTTCACCCAGGCCACCCCTCCCTGGGCCTGCTCCCCGCCCATCGGCCGCAGATGCTGGGCAGCCACACAGGACCAATGCCTGGGCCATCTTTTCTCTTTGGGTCACAAGCACCTGGCATTGTCATGGCAACCCTGGGCCTGGAGGACAGGCCTCGGCCCAGGAGCCACGGGTGCCTTTGTGGCCCAGTGATGGTGACAGGTCTGTCCTCATGCCAGGAGCTACAGGGCCCGAGACGTCTCCATGAGGGTGTAAAGGTGCACTGGGTGGGGCCTCCTGGACCCCAAGGCAGGAGCCTGGGAGAGCCCCCGGGAGAGGTCAGCAGGGATCTGGTGATCAGGGGTCAAGTTATTTGCCAAGAGCAGAGCAGGGGTATGTGCCCGTCCCTCCCTCCTTCACCGCTGAGCCGGGCTGGGGAGGTCGGCGAGGAGGGAGGTGACAGGGTGACTGGGCTTAAAGGGCTGGAGTCAGGAGAAGTGACTGAGACAGGGTCCAGGTGGTGGGGAACCATTGCACAGGTGCGTGCAGGTGTGGGGGGTGAGCGTGTGCTGCCGGCAGGGCTCTGGGGGAAGGGGAGGGATAAGTGGGAAATGGGACTGGGGGATCGAGTGAGAAGTGGCAGGAAGGAGCCCCATTCTCTCCTCACAGGCCTCTGCCCCCCTGCCAAGCACACGTGGGAGGGGATACCCGCCACCCTGCCCATCCCCCAGAAGGTAAAGCAGCAGAGCTGTGGGCCAGGTGGCACACCACCCCTCTGGCCGTGCCATCCCTGCAGGGAATGCCAACCCTCTGAGTGTCCCCTACACCCGCCTTCCCTCCTTGCCTGGCCCACCCCATGAGGCTGGCCAGCCCTCTGAGACCTGCCCTGATGATGGGCAAGCACCTGGTTATGGGCCACCCTGTGCCTGGGGCTGCCTCCACCTCCCCAGTCCCAGCAGCCCTGACGCATGCGTAGGCTCCCTCCCACAGCCTGCGAGCTGTACCACCTTCTAGCCAGCGAATGGGGGCGATTCATTCCACTTGGTGCAGACTAAATTTTCTCCTCTGTAACATGGGGGTAACATCTGCTACGCAGAATTGGATTCAGTGAACCCCCTGAGCACCTTATACACAGCGAGCGCTCCGGAGGTGTCTCCCTCCCTTTTAGAGATCCGAGTCCACGCCCTGTGACCATTATTTCCGCCTTTTTGTAGACGAGGAAACTGAGGTTCAGAGTGGGCCTGTCACTCACCCAGTGTCACACAGCTCACTAAGTGATGGGGCCTGGACCAGAGCGGAAACCTGATGCCATTGCCCACATCCTTCATCCTTCCTGCTGCATCACATTGCTTCTTTGGGCACCTCATAGATCCCTGAAACTCCAAGGTCCCCACCGCTGCTCCCCTCGTCCCCCACGCCCAGAGCAAAAGTACAATTTGCATGAACATGCAGACCTCTGAGCTCCGATCCCGGACTCAGTGACACCGAAACCACATGGAGAGCTGGGTCTTTGACGAACAGTGTCCCTGGGTCACCTGAGCTCCGGCCCATTGAGGCAAACCCTCACCTGGAGTGACCTGGATGCAGTTACCAGAGGCCTCAGTCTCCCCCCAGACTGTGGGGAGGGGTGCCTACCTTCTCTTCCCTGCTGGGGGTCAGGCCTCTTGTGGAAACTTCCCCAGGCGGCCCTGTGCTGCCTGTGGGACTCTTATTTGTTTTCTCCCCTGGAAGATGTGTGTGTGTGTGTGTGTGTGTGTGTGTGTGTGTGTGTGTGTGTCGGGGCAGGGGCGGGGGGAGCTGTGAGATTTGTGATCTCCACTTCGATGGCTTGAAGGTGTTCCAGCTCTAGCACAAAGCTGGGTACTTTGGAGCAAGCAGCCTCCCCCAGAGACCCACAGACACAGACAGCCCCCCTTCCCAGGAGCCGGCCATCCCAGAGGCTGTAGTCCCATGGGGTCTCCAGGAGAGGGTGTGGGTCAGCTAGAACCCCTCCTCCCAGCCCAGCAGCCAGAAGGCCACGGGGGAGCTCCCGTGTGGCCCAGGCTCTGGCCTGCCTACAAGAAGGGCAGCTGGCTTTTTTCCAGGCAGAACTCACTGGAGTCCTGGCCCTGCCACTCTTTCCGGGCCAAACCCGGCATGTTTCTTAGTCTCTGACCTTCAGTCTTCTCAGGTGTGGAACATGGGGACGTCAAACCCGAATTTTAGCAGGGATTTTGGGGGGAAGAGGCTGTGACAATGAACTGAGACAGTGATTATTAAAGCCCCAAATCTGGGCGTGGACACGTCTGTTGAGTCACCTCATAACAGTCTCACCACCTGTTCACTCAGGACTCCCTTACCGTGAGGCTGGGTCATCCCCAAACTCACAGATGGTTAGGTATGCCTGCACGTGTGTGTGTGTGTGCGTGCGTGTGTGTGTGTGTGTGAGAGAGAGAGAGAGAGAGAGAGAGAGAGAGAAGGGGGGGTAGGGAGGGAGAGAGAGAGAGACCCACACACAGAAAACTGGGTTTGCTAAGTAGGGGTCTGAGCTGGAAGACTGTGGGGGTCCCCACTGAACAGCTCCAGAACACCGAGGGTGGCAACCTAGCAGGGTGCCCACACCCCTCCTCAGGCCTTACCTCGTTGTTGACAAAGCAGTACAAGATAGCCACCATCAGCCCCTGGAAACGAGAGGTGTGTCAGCAGGGAGGAGGTGGGAGAAGGCAGGAGAAGGGGGAGACGGGCGGGGGCGGGGAGGGAGGCGAGCATCCTGCAGATGGCCCTGGTCCCCAGCTCCATGGGCCTCCAGCCACAGCCTTCCCTGCTCAGACTGGGAAGCCCAGAGCTGGGGGACTCCTCTCCTCTCCTTTCTGCAGGGACAAGAAGTCCTCTTGCCCAGGTGCTCCAGGAGCCCTTCCATCTCCCTTAGAGGACAATGGGCCCCAGAAAGGAGGGACCTCTGACTGTGCGGATTTCCCTGGCCCAGCCCCATGTTCACTCAGGAGACACGTGCTCCAGAACTCGGATCTGCGTGTGTGTGTGTGCTCATGTGTGCATCTGTGTGTGTGCATGTGTGTTTTCGTGTGACTGTGTGTGAGTACATGTGTGTGTCTGCGTGTGCCTCTCTCTGTGTGCATGCACCTGTGAGTGTGTGTATGTGAGTATGTGAGTGCACATGCACGTGTGTGTCTCTGTGTGCATGTGTGTCTGTGTGCATGTGAGTATGCATGCACATATGTGCATGTGTCTACACGTCTCTGTGTGCATGTATGTCTACACATGTGTCTACATGTGACTGTGACTATGTGTGCATGTGTGTCTCTCTGTGTGTGCATGCATGTGTGAGTGTGTGCATGTGAGTATGTGTGCAAGTGCACACAGAGGCCCGCATGCTGGTGGCCATCGCATGAACTTCCTGAGAGGCTGGGACCAGTTTCTTATGTTCCTACGCCCCCACTGACACTCGTACCCCCGCAGCAGCATCTGCTAATACTGGTGGAGAAGACCAATTCGTGGCTGGGTGCCCACGGCTACATCTGGAAAGGCTTCGTGTCAATGTGCTTATAGAAAAGACTGGCCTGGGCATCGGGGCACCTGGGGATTCCAGCTCAGGCTCGGCTCCAACCACATAGCCTGGGCAAGGACCACTTTCCTCCAGGCCTCGCTGCCTGCTGCCTGCTGCCGGCTGGCTGTGCCCCACCCTCACTCTAGGACGTCACAGGGAAGGGCCCCAGCCATGCTCACCTGGAAGGAGGTGAAGGAGAGCTCTGTGAGCAGCTTGATGAAGCGCAGGGTCCCCCGGGCGTGCTCGTCCATCACGAACGCAAAGATGACCTCATGGGTGCCCAGCAGGGGGATGAGCGTCAATGTGGACTTGGCAAGTCTGGGTGGGGAGGTGGAGATGTCATTCTGGGCTCTCCCATGAACTCTTCTCCCTTTCTGTGCCCCAAACCCCCATCGAGGCCTGGCATCTGGGTCTGTCACACTCCCACCCCAATACCCTGGGACAGGCTGCTAGGAGGGAGGAGGTAGCGGCCAAACCCCCCAGAGCCCAGGAGCTGCCCAGATACAGGGAGGAGGGCAAGGCGTGGGTCCCAGGTGGGAGAAGGTCCTGCAGCCTTAAGCTGGGCACCCAGGATCCGTCTCTACGGGAAGGAGGGCTGAGGGTGCCCGGCAGAGCCGGCGGTCACGCACCTGCACTTGATGTCCGTCTTGCACATGAGGTTGGCTTTCAGCTTGGACACCACGATGCAGATGACCCGGACAAAGATGAGGAAGTTCACCTGCAGGGCAGATGGGAGGGTGGCCGGAGGCCTTGTCACGACACACTTCCCCTGTCCTCCCCAGCACCCCCCAGGCCACCCCCACACTGCCACTCACCCCAATGGCGAAGAGAATGGGCAGCCGGATAATGAGCCAGTAATTCATGTTTGAGTTCCTGGTCCAGCAGCTGGAGAGGGGAGACACACACAGGCACCCAATGGAGCCCAGACCCCAGAACAGTGCAGGCACAGGGCACAGAAGTACATGTGGGCATCAAAGGGACACACACAGAGCCACACAGGCACTGCCACCGGGAGCTACCCAACAACCACTCTACAGACCCACACAAAGGCCTTCCAGCCACACACACACACACACACAGCAACAAACACACAGAGCTACGTGAGCCCATGAACACAGGCATGTGTGTACCCAGAGCCAAACACAAAGCAACAAACACTTCATTCAGCTCTCACAGAAGAACCTGGAAGGGGCACCACACTCCCCACAGGCCCCGCACCATTCGTCTTCATACAGTCCCACGGAGGGTGGACAGGACAGGGCAGGAGAGAACTAGTCGTAAATTCAGCTCTGGCCCCTCAGTTTATCCTCCCAACAGGTCCCAGCCGCAGGCCCCAGGGGCCAAGGACCACACGGGGTTTGGGGACAGGGACGTCAGCACACTCACCCCGAGGAGCAGGGCACTCACCCCTCGTCCTCATAGAGGTACTTGACAATGCCCCAGGGGATGACAAACAGCAAGGGAACACCTGAGAGCAGAGGGAGAGAGAGAGGGGAGAGGGGCTGGCAGGCTGGGGCCACCGCACGCCCACCCGGCAGCCTCTCCTTCCTGGCCTCCCCCTCCTGCAGCCCCTCTCTGAGCCTGGCCCAAACCACACTTCCCAGAAGGTGTGGAACGAGGCTGGTCTGGGTGCATGGAGAACAGGCGGTGGAGCCACGCCCCCCCCCCCCCCCCCCCGACTCCTCAGCCTTCCTCACAGAGTGGGCCATGGGGCAGGGACCACATGCTGCATGAGGTGGGAACAGGCCAAACCTCTGCTGCGCTTCCCCCACGGCCTCAGCCCACACGCCCATCTCAGTCCATTTCTTCAGGCACCGGACGCCCCGGCAGACACCTGTTCCCTGACCACGCACACCTGCAAGGCGCTGGGGAGAGCCTGGGGTGGGAACAGGACCTTGATGCTGGCAGCCCAACTAACTGCACAGTGTCCCACAGCCACGAAAATGGCAACAGCGCTTTCTACTGAGACTTGATGGTGGTGGCAGCTCCATCAGGGCCCCAGAGGTCCCCACCTCCTGGCATCCACACCCTGGTGTAGTCCGCCTTGTACCAGGGCTGGTCTGGGTGACAGGATGCACAGCAGAAGTGATGGCGCGACACTTCGTAGATCAGGTTATAAAACAGCCGTGAAAGGTTAGAAAAGGCTTGTCTTGGGCTTTCTCGCTCAATGAGGTCACCTGTTGCCATGCCACGAGGACACTTAGCCAAGGCAGAGGCCCCTGCGGCAGGGAATGCAGCCTCCACCCAGCACCCAGCAAGGCCCTCCGCTTCCTGCCCTCCGCCTCACGCGTGAGCTTGGCAGTGGATTCTCCGATCCCGGCTCAGCCTTGAGATGCCAGCTGCCCTGACTGACAGCCGGACGGCATCTGTCAGAGCCCCTCAGCCAGAGGCCAGCTACGGTGAACCAGATTCCCGGCCACAGAAACTTCAAGGTAACAATTGTTTCAAGCAGCCAAGCTGTGGGGTCATTTGTCTGCAGCGAATGGCAATGAATGCAACTGGTTTCCAGCTAGAGCCTCTCTCATTTCCAGAGCCTGCGCTCAGCTCACCGGGAGCTCGGTGTGTGTGTGCTGACTTACAGACTGTCCATCCTCACGCGACAGATGGAGAAGGATCGGCTCGGGAGGCTCAGGGGGGGCTGCAACCCCACGCTCGTGCCAGTCCCCTCAGTGGCTTCTGCACTAGCCCCTCCGTGTCGGCCTCGATGGGTGCCCCTCTCGGGGCTGGAGATGTGGGTGTCTGAGACAGGCAACAGGGTGCATAGTAAGGTGTGTGGACACAGCTGTGTGTGTGTGTGGGGGGCGTGTGTATGCATGTGTGACTTTGGGGGGTCTCCCCCAGGAGCACGCTTCCAGGGCAGGATGCACTTCACAGCCTTTCCTGCCACCATCATCCAGGTCCTCATCATGTGCTGTCCACTCAACAGAAGCTGCCGAGTGGCTCGCATGTCTGCAGCTGCTGTGCGTGGAGCTGCCGTGTGTGGAGCTGCTGTGCGTGGAGCTGCCGTGTGTGGAGCTGCCGTGCGTGGAGTTGCCGTGTGTGGAGCTGCCGTGCGTGGAGCTGCCGTGCGTGGAGCTGCCGTGCGTGGAGTTGCCGTGTGTGGAGCTGCCGTGCGTGGAGCTGCCGTGCGTGGAGCTGCCGTGCGTGGAGTTGCCGTGTGTGGAGCTGCCGTGCGTGGAGCTGCCGTGCGTGGAGCTGCCGTGTGTGGAGCTGCCGTGCGTGAAGCTGCGGACAGGCATGGGGGGAGCAGAGAAGCCCACAGCTTCCTCGGAGAGCTTCCTCTTGGCCATTCATGTGAACACAATAGACTTCTCAGCATCATGATGCTGTAATAACAGGCTTTCATGAGACAGGACGAGGCACAGATGCCTCCAAAGGCTCCAGCGCAGAAGATGCTCAGGGAGAGGAGGATGGATGGATGGATGGATGGATGGATGGTGAGGGAGTCAGTACAGCGTTCAGAGAAGGGAAGCTCTCCAGGCAAGTACGTGTCAACTCCAAGAGCCCTTCTGGGGCACCCCGGCCACCTGCTGTTCTTTTCTCAGAGACCCCACTCCAGGGCTGGGGTTCACTCATGATGCCAGACACAGGGCTTCATTCATTCATCAGCATCTCCTAACAAAGCCTTTTTAAAAACAGGCACAGCTCTGCCGCGTGCAAACATTACACACTCCCTGCTGGCTTCATCTCTCTCCCATTTAGAAAATCAACAAGACAGACTGCAGAGAAAGCTTGAATTAAGAACAGAACCAGCTCCAAGAAGTAATGGGGCCCTTGTCCAACTTGTCTTCCTCCTGCTCAGCCTCCTGGGGGTTGAGGATTAGGGGTGCCCGGCCGCCCATGGGCATGCCTTCTGGGACCCCCCCTCGCTGTGCTGGAGTCCCCACGTTAATTCTTCTGCTCACACAAGTAGCTGCTTGCTGTTTCCCAAGCCTGCCAACAGGGCCAGGCCTCCTGGCATCACAGCGGGGCGCTTGGCTCTCTGTGACTCTCTCTGACCTTCTGCCTTTGTCCCTCTGTCTCTCTCTGTCTCTCCGTATCTCAATTCCTCAAGAAGAGGATGCTCTGATTGGGGAGGGGGGTCCCCCAGGTCCAGCCCTTATGCCCCTCAGACCCTGGGCCCTGAGCTGGGGAGTGAGGTGGTGGAAAGACTGGCACCCTTCCCCCATTTCCCACTCGAGACCTCAGGGCACGATGTGTCCCCACCCACCCTCCCTCACTCACCCCCTCCTCTGCACACACCACAGCGTCCCTTTGATTGTTCCTGTCCACAGGTCGCCATGGTGACGGGCACTCCCAGTGCTGATGCTATTTCCCAGAATGGACATCACCACCCCCTCCCTGAGGACAGCGCTCTCCGCACTGGCCCACCCTAGCTCTCCACAGGCTCTCCAGCTGCCCGGGCCTGACTGCCCTAGTGGGATAAAGAGGCCTTGGAGGGCAGACGGCTCAGCAGGGAGGGGCTGAGCCTTGGTGGAGTGGGAGGCGGGAGCAGGGAGCTGAGCGCAGGGTCCAGGCCCCGCAGAGGCCTGAGCATATTGCACGGGGCAGAGGGGACTGGAGGAGATACAGTGCCAGGCAGGACAGGACAGGGGGGCTCAGAGCCTGGGATTCAGGCGGCTGTTCCAGGGCTGGCCCTGCCCCTGAGGCTCTGCCCCATCTGCACCTCAGTGCCCTCAATACACTGGCCCCACTATTGCCCCCTTAGAGGCACTCTTCTTCACTGGGCTACATGGAGCCGAGTGGCCGAGGAACACCAGCAAGAAGCAGGGGAGTGTGAGAGAGCACAGAACCAGGGTGGCCAGCCAACCTGCGTGGCCCCCTGAGGGGTGGACTGGACCGGGCAGCCTTGCAAAGGCCCAGGGGCAGGAGCCAGCATGGACGGGCCTTCGAGAAGGAGCATGGCCGTGACTGAGTGAAAGTCCCTGGGAGTCGGGACAGCAGTGGTCAGAGCAGCTTGAGGCGGGCGAGTGAAGGGAGGGAGGAGTGGATGGATGGACGCAGTTCTGGTGGAGGGGGGCCCTGTGGTGCGGGCAGGGGGCAGGAGGCAGGGGGCAGGGGGCAGGGGGCAGGGAGCAGGGGGCAGGGGGCAGGGGGCAGGGGGCAGGGGGCCGGGACCCGCAGGCCCTGGAGGCCAGGCGGCAGGGCCTCTGCTGCATCCCTGTGGCACCGGTGGGCTCCCGGAGTAATTCTGCTGTATCTATTTTTCGGTGGCGAGTGGGGACTGGGGGCTGCTGCTGCTGGGGTCCCAGCCCCTGCCCCACCCGCCCCTTTCTCATCGGAATTCCACGTGGCGAGAGGCAGAAGCACAACCAGAAATGTTCCAGCAAAAAAAAAAGACACAGTGGTTCTCGGCAAACTTTTTTGGCCAGAACATTTCCGGCTGGGCTCCAGGCGCATCCGCGGCCCGCCGTCCTCAGCTGGCTTCCGCGACCCCCGGCCTCCTCTGTGACAGAGCCACAGCCCTCTGCCCACCCAGTGACCCCCACTGAGGCCCAGGATCTCCCTCTCCCTCCCGGCCTCGCTGCCCAGGGCTGGCGGGCGTGGGCTCCGTCCCGGCAGGCCTTAGGGGCGGGGGTATTTGAGGACAGCGCAGGGCTGTGGCGTGCGTGGTGGATTTGGCTTCCATTAAGGGGGAGGGTTGTGAAAAGGAGGGAGGGCAACCCTAACCCATGGGCAGCAAGCCCTGTTCCCAGGAGAGAGTCACCCAGGGGCCCTGCCCCAGCCCAGCAGTGTGCTCCGAGCACCAAGGCGGCTTCACGGGGGAGCCTGGAGGCAGGAGTGGAAGCGGCTGAGCCCCCGCAACCCCCCCCCTCGTGCCACAGGTGGGGGTGGGGGTGTGATGGCTGGCGGTGCCTTACCCCAGCCTATGCTCAGGTAGAGCCTGAAGATGCGCTGCTCAGAGAAGACCGAGAGGGCCAGCAGCGTGTACAGGTACACGCCCTCCACCAGGAGCCAGTAGTAGTTGGCCGCCACGCAGTATTGCATGAGCAGGAACACCAGGCGGCAGCTCAGAGAGTCCTGGGGGCAGAGGGAGGGTCCCGGGGGACAACAGCTCTGGCCCCTGCCTCTCGTGACCCCTCCCCCGTGTCAGACTGAGAACTCCCTAAGGGCAGGGGCCGTGTCTCCTGGGGGGGGGGAGGCCCATGATGGACTGCCTCTCCCATCAGACAAGGGGGTGGGAGGGGGGGTTCCCTGAGGACCTGGCCTGGGCAGCTCTGGCCTTTCTCTGTGCCAGGCCTGGGTGGGATGGGGGACACCAGCCTCCACCGATGGCCTGTCCCTCCCCAGGCCCTTCCCGGACACACCACGCACCTGGTAGGAGAGGAGCCCGTCCCACTCGTGCTGCTGGGCAGCCGTGCTGTACATCCACTTGAGGGCCGCGTCCTTGACGAAGACGGACAGTGCTCGGAGGATGAAGGAGGCGAACAGGTTCAGGTGGATGTAGTTCCGGGTGCAGTGCAGGTGTCTGCGAGAGAAAGCAGGGCCTCTGGCAAGACGGCCGCAACCCCCGGCTCTCAGGCTAGCACACCCGGGGCACGGGGCACGTTCCGGCTCTGGGCTGCTCCTGTCCTCCCTCCGAGCATGCCCGTCTCCCCACAACCTTGACAACCCTTTTGTTTCGTTCAAGTCCAGCCTCTCCATAAGCCTTCGGTTGCGTGGTCACTGCACCCCCGCCCACCCCCATTCTGTCCTCTGTCTGTGGCATCTTCTTGTTTGCAAAGTCATGTGTGGCCCAAACGGTGAAGATGCGAGGACCACTTCCGCCAGTGGGGACTTCGCTTCTGCCATACAGGGCACGTGGTAAGGATTCCCAAAGTATTGGATACAATCTCAATATCCCTTCATGTAAAAACGTGTTACAAACTGGAAATACGAGGGCATTTCTTAACACAATAAGGGCTATCTACCCAAACCAGGAGTAGACATCATTCTTAACTGAGAAACTTTAGAAGTGTTCCCTTTAAAATCAGAAAAAAATAAGGGTCATCTAGACATAAGAAGCTATCATCACATCTATTCAACCTTGTACGACAGACCCTAGACACTATAATAAGAAAAGGGAAAAGTGTGCAAGATCTGGGAAAGCCTTGGTTGGCGTGGCTCATCCCATGCACTGAAGGGTCATGGGTTGGATTCCAAGCCAGGGCACATACCCGGGTTTCAGGTTTGATCCCTGCAGGCAACCAATCAATGTTTCTCTCTCTCTCCCTTCCTCTCTCTCTAAAACCAGCAAAACCATATACTCGGGTGAGGATTTTAAAAAAAATAGATTTGAGAATAAAGGAACAAAATTGTTATTATTTATAGATGACAGATTATCTTCATAGAAAATCCAAGACACTTGACACATAAATTATTAGAACTCAGAAGAGCTCAGCAAGGTGATATGTATGTTCATGTACTTCAGCGACAAACAATTAAAAAGTAAAATTTAAAAATTCATTTATAATATTTTTAATTGACTAGCTAGAAATAAGTCTAACAACATGGGCAAGATTGCTAGGAGGAATAAAACTTGCTAAAATCAGTAAAGGAGATTTAAATTAACGGAAGGTATACCACCTTCACAGAGAGACTCACTCTCTTAAAGACGTCAGTTCTCGCCGTATTAATTGATAATGTCAATATGGCTATCACAGAAATTCCCACGGTGTTGGTTTTTAAAAATGAAATTTACAAACTTCTAAAGAAGAGGCGAGGGCTGAGATTAGTTCAGACCACAAAGTAGGGGCCCTTGCTACAAGTGAACAGAGATTTTTAATGAATATATAGTAGCTAAGGCACCACGGTATTGCAAAAGGACAAATGGAGAGGCCAACAAACATGACAGAAACCAACCCAGCCACCGGTGGCCTTTGCTGCCTGGCCGCGTAGGCATTGCAACCGAGGGGGGGAGGATGACTGGCAGGAAGTGGTCCTGAGACAATTAACTATATGTATACATGGGAAAGGAAAATTCATCTTTATTTCCACCAGAGACAAAAGCAAATTCCAGGCACATCAAAGAACCATAAGGAATGAGCAAAACCCATGACCCCAGGAGATAAGGAAAGATTTCTCAAACAAGACCATAATGAAATTTGGTCTTTGGAAAAAAAAACGATACATTTTAAATCAAGTGACAAAATTATTTGTTATCTATTGATAAATTTTATCAATAAAAACAGAAAATTAATATATTTCATTCCATTAAAATTGACGTCTTCTGTGCATAAAAGGCACCAGAGTGAGTGGGGAAAAAAAGTAATAAACCACAGACTAAGAGAAGACATATCCTGCATTGGTATCCAGAATATGTAATGAATGCCTAAGATAAAAATGAAAAAGCCAAATAAGCCAATAAAAAGTAAGCGATTCTACGAGCAAGCAATTCACAGAATCAAACATAAAAAACTCGGCTCTCTCTGGGAATCAGAGATATGCACATTAAAATCATAATGAGATATTTCAGACACTTTAGATTAGCAACAATTAAGCCTGAGAATACTAAATAGTAGCGAGGGCATTAAGGGAAGGGAACTCTCATTTATTACCGGTGAGAAGGCAAACCGGTGCGATCACTTTGGAAGCGACTTCACCACACCTGATCAATTTGCAAAAGCACGCGCTATTCAGATCAGGCGACTGTGCTCGGAGGTATGTGCCCTCAGAGAAAGGCACAAGGGGTCATGGGTAAGAGCGTTCACTGTAGCAGGTGTATAATCCAGGAGAGGAAAGCTTCAAATGCCCACTAAAAGGACAAGCGGTAAATGAACTGTGCCACACCACACAATGCGACAGTTAAAAGGAACGAAGTACCTGTTTCAACGTAAGTGAATCTCACAAAAACATTGTCAGGCCAAAAATAACATTGCGGGAGAATATATGTCCAGCATGTCGTCAAAAGCAGGCAATATTCTGGCTGTATATTTTTACAGATACTTACAAAAGCGGTGAGAGTCTAGAGCAGTGGTTCTCAACCTTGGCTGCACATTAGAATCACCTGGGAATCGTCTTAAAATCCTGATTTCTGGGCCTCATCCTCTGGAAATTCTGTTTCTTTGTTACTCATGTAGTGGCCCCACCCCATATCAGATATTTACATGACGATTCATAACAGTAGCAACATTACAGTTATGAAGTAGCAACGAAAATAATTTGATGGTTGGGTCACAACATGAGGAACTGCATTTAAAGGGCCAGAAGGTTGAGAACCACTGCTTAGGAGAAGAACCTGCTGCCTGTGGTTCTGGTTCGGTGCCCCCACCTCCATCTGGGGACGCAGAGGGAGTTAGGACGCGGCAGTGCCCCGGGCCCGGCCTCTCACCTGAAGCCCAGGAGGATGGCGGAGGCGATGACCAGGGCGGAGAAGGACAGCGCGTAGCCCACCGTGTAGACGATGTAGAGGGACAGGAGCTGGTCCTCGGGGGAGCTCTGTGTGCACACAGGGACGCGTGGGCCTGCGGTGCCCCAGGACGTCCCTCCCACACCTCTCCTTCCCATGGGACCCTGGGGCCCCCAGAACGGAGAAAGAGAATAACCCAGGCAGATGGTCTCCAGATCCCAGGACCCTGGTCCAAGGCCAGAGGTGAACACGCACCACCTCTGCCCAGGAAGCACGGTGTGCAAAGCTCCCGCCCGGAGCGATGGAGGAGACGACCACGGCCCAGCCCCCCACACCCTGAGGGCCCAGGGCCCTGCTCCAGCCACGCGGGGACCTGCTACCCCTCGCTGGCTGGGAGCCCCCATCTTCAACTCACCCTGTCCCCGCGCTTGGACTCCTCGCACTCCGACAGGTCCCGCCAGGGCAGGCTGGAGTTGTCCTGGTGCAGCCACAGGCCGTCGGCGGTGCAGAAGCGGTACACGTGGCCCTGCAGCACTGGGCGGGGACACGGGGCTGAGCCGCGGCCGAGGCCACGGCCTCTCGTCCTCTGGCCCCCGGGGCTGCCCACGCCCCCAGGACAGGCCTCTGGGAGTGAGTAACGCCTCACACCCACCCACACGCAGACGCCCGCACACTTGGCCCCCTGCCCTGCCAGGTGCCCACCTGGCCCAAGGACAGGAGAGGAGGTCACGAAGGCGGGGCCGCCGCCGCCCTCAGCCCCTCCTCCTGGCTGAGCAGCAGGGTGGTGGAGGAAGCCTTGCCTGCGAGGAGACAGGAGACGACTCCAGCCACTGCCAGGCCCCTGTCTCCGCCTCAGTCACACTGCTCCCAGGTCTGCTGTGACCCCCGCGGCCCTGGCAGCCCACAGCCACCTGCTGCGGCTTCTGATCCGAAGGCTCAGTGCCCACCTCCTCCCAACACCCCTTGGGCATTGCAGGCCTGGAAACCAGTGGGCAGGGAGGGGCTGAGAGGAAGCGAGAGACACGGCCCTGTCCCCAGGGAACCTCAGTCTGAGGGGGGACACAGCCCTGCCCTCAGGGAGCCCCAGTCTGAGGGGGACACAGCCCTGTCCTCAGGGAGCCCCAGTCTGAGAAGGACATGGCCCTGTCCCCAGGGAGCCCCATTGAAGCAGGAAGGAAGCACATTTCCTGGCTTTAATAAGACTCACAGGAAAAAAGCCAAAAATGTGGTCAGGAAGGAAGAGCACAATTGCAAACCAAGGGAGATCGCGCGCAGGCCCAGGCGAGCGGTGCCATTCATTCACATCCAGGCATCAGGACCCCGAGTCCGTCCGCCGGCCACGCTACACTGCCCACCTCCCCGGGGACATGCGGGGCCTGTGGCCACAGGTTTGCTCCATGAGAATGAGTCTGACCCCAGGGCAGGAAGTGGGACAAAATGATGGGGGGGAGGGGAGGGGTGGCACAGGGGGACCCAGGAGAGAAGCTGGAGCCAGGACAAATTTTAAAAGATGTTAAAACCCTAAAAATGTTAAAGCCCCGCTTCCCCAGCCGTGGGAGGCAGAGCCGCGTGAGGGGCAGCGCCTAGGCTCCGGGTGGCAGGGCGGCAGGCTTCCTGGTGGAGGTGGAATAAAGGCCATGTCTGCGGGCGTGGCCAGCCTCCCTGCTGGGGCCCAGGAGGGGCCTAGGCCAGGGCTGTCCCCCAGTGCACACTCTCCCCCCGCCCACCGTGTGAGTGCAGACCTTCAGTGTAGGGCCTAGGACAGCGTCTCCCCGCCCTATCAGGCACCTGCAGGCTGTCCGTCAGGCCCTGTCCTCCCTAGCTGGCCCCCGGGGACTCCGGGCAGCCTCCCTGCTGGCTCTCCTTCCCCTGCCCCCTGCCACAAGCAAACCCTGAACCAGGTCCCTCTCCAGGACAGCATCTGGCACACAGTGAGGCACATCAGCTTGCAGCATCATCGCTTCCAGAAGGCCCTGCATTTTAAGAAGCTTCACCCGGAAAGCCTGAAGCCTAACGGTGGGACTTCTGGCAGCGGCAGAGCCTGTCCCAGCACCCCTGATGCAGAACCAGGCAAGACAGGGGCAGAGGAGCGGGAAGCCTGTCTCAGGCCCCGAATGCATCTGCTGTCTGCTGGGTGGATGCCTGAAACCCTTCACTAGGGGGTCCAGTCCTTTTCTGGCCAAACCAGTGGTAGATAAGCCCAGAGCAGTGCCAGGATCTGGGCTCTCACCTCATGGCGAGTGGGGTTGATGCCAGAGCCTTCTCTGGCAGCCCGTGTGTGGGGGGGGGGGGGGGGGCAGTGGAGAGGAGTGAGAAAGAGGGAAGCAGAGGGGCTGGGGAAGGGAGAGGACACGGCCTGGGGCACACATCATCAAATCGCCCAGTTACCCAGCACTCAGCCCGCGGGAGCCTGACCCCGCCGATACCTGCTTGCCACCGCGGGCTCAGGGCCTGGCACTGCACGGTTGCTGGAGCCCGCCCATCACGCCCCTTTGCACACCCACTCTGCAGGCTGCGCACTCACAGAACCTGTCTCAAGCACCTGCTGTGAGCCCGACACCTCTGAGCGTCACAACCACCTGACACAGTTCATCCTATTTGGCGGGCGGAGAGATGGCGTCTCTAAGAGGCCAAGCGACCTGCCCCAGACCAGCCAGCCAGGGTGCAGCAGGGGCGGGACTCAGACCCCAGCTCTCTGCCCCCAAAGCCAAGAGTTAGCAGCCACAGGCACTGCCAGGAGTCAACCACAGCCACGTGCCGTTTCTCCTCTGCCTTTCCCGAGGCCGATCACCGACATCCAGGGTCCTCCCGGCAGGCCCTCCTGCCAGCGGGACCCCAGGCCGCCGCACCCTCTGGTCAGGGCCAGCGGGGAGGACGGGAGGATGGGGAGGGGGTGTGAGCACAGACATGGTGCTACTGGCAGAGCGTCAGGGATCACCGCGTCCCTGAGACAGTCTGTGTGAGGGTGGCTGTCCATTATCCTTCAGCAGCAGCAAATATTAAAACCCAGGGCTGGCTCCTGGCTGGGCCGTGGTCCCCAGATGCCCATCTCGGCCCAGGGTGCAGCGGGTCCAGGCCCAGCCCTGCTTATCAGCCCAGCTTTATCTGGCCCGGGAGCTGCTGGTAAATCAGCCAGGGGCTTGGCTCCGGTCTTGTCAACACCAGGAGGCAGCCGGCCGCGTGCCAGGAGGCCCAGGGATATTTCATTAAGTCAGACCCTGGTGTTGGAAATAAAACCCCCAATTAAACACTTCCCCTCCCAGAAACTGCAGCGGTGTCTGTAATCAAGCTCACAGCCGCCCTTCCACGTGGCTGCGGCACGCGGGGCCGCGGAGAGCCGCTCATGAATCCATTAGCTCTGCTCTGGCAACGGCAGTGCCAGCAGGATGCCTGGCCCCTCTCACAGACCACAGGCCCAGCTGGGGTCCCCGAGGAGGGTCACAGGCCCTCCCCAAAGTGCTGGCACGCAGGTCAGAGGCGGGGCTCGGGCCGAAGGCATCCGCGTGGGGTGAGGTGAGGGTGAAGCATCAATCACGGCCTGGGAAGAGGAGGGCAGGTTCTGAACCTCACAGACTCAAGTTCAGATTCCGGTTCTGCCTCCACCGGCCACGGGACCAGGAACAGACCTCCTGGGCCTCAGTTTCCTCATTTGTCAACAGGACCATAATGACTGCCCTGCCCGGGTCTGCGGGGTGAGGATTAGGAGATGAAGCATGTGAAGGGCCTAGTGCACAGGAAGCCCTCAACACATGGTCCCCGTGGGACCCTGCTGCTGCGCCCCCCCACCCCACTTTCTCCAAAGAGCACCCCTTCACTGAGGCTGGGGTTGGGGCTCAGGACACCTCCTTAGCCAGAACTCCTCCAAAGCCAAGTTTGTTCCCGTCTCCCCTTGGCAACCCTGGCCTGCCACGGGAGCTCCCCTGCTGCTACTCAAGGGAGGCACCTGTCAGAGCTTCCAGACCTGAGGGATAGGCCACTTTAAACGCGTTTTATGACTCCCGTGTAATTAGAACTGAGCCAACAAGCAGGTAGAGATCGGGAGGGGCTACAGCTAACAAGACCAGATGATGGGTAATAAGCAGATCGTTGTGTGTGGGTGAGCGGCCCTCCTTCTCGCTCTTCCTCTGCCTGTTCATCCAGGCCCGATGTCACCTCTCTCTGGAAGCCACACGTGGGCAGGAGAGGTGGCTCTGACCTCCCTCAGCACACTTCCCGGCTGCTGAGCTGCCCTCTTCAGCCCTGTGGTGAGGGGTCATCGCTACTGCCCAGTGCACACACTCACACTCACACGCTCACACACCCCTCAGCGGGACTCTCGCTGGCCGCCCCAGCTCCTGACACAGACCTAGCTGTTTTGAATGTAGTTCTTTCTCTGATCATTCATTCCTCGGTGTGCTCTGCCCCCCAGAGGCTGACCCCTGTGGACAGCATCACCTGGGCTCTCTGACCTCCACTGGGTTTGACCAGGGGACGTGTCGGCAGAAGGTAGGAGGGCGGGAGGGGGAGAGGCTGGGGGTTTCCTCCCTGGCTCCCTTCCTGCCTTAATTTGGAGGGTCAGGCGGTGGCTCCAGGCTGGCCTCTCTGTCACCACGACCTCTAGCTGTCATGGGGGCCCCAGAGCCCCGTTCCTGCCCCACTCGGGTCCAGGGGTGCTAAGCTTCCCTCAGCTGTAGTCCGTGGTGCTTTATGTACCTGCCGGCCCCAGCTCTGCCCAGCCTCTGTAAGTGACCCCCCACTAAACTCTTCCACATCCCAGCTGAGTGTGTGTTCTGCCAGGATCCCGCCTGAGACAACCCTTCCTTCTGCCCACCCCAACTCGTACTCACTGGCCACTCCCTTGATCAGCCCAAGAAAGATCCCAAACTGCCCCCTTCCTGCTCCCACATGCCCTGAGTGGGGGTGAGGGAAGCTCCCGGTGCCAGCCCCTGCCCAGGGGGCTGCCAGGACAGGCCAGAGGCAGCAATTCTGCTGCGGGAGCCGGGTGGGTGTCTCTCCGGATCCCTACCTCAGGGAGAGGGGCAGGGGAGGCAGCGTGGGTGAGTCTGAGTGTCAAAAAGGGGCATGAATTAGCGTGGGAGTCAGGGGGGGCGGGGGCTGGCAGGGGCCTGGGCTGTGCCGTTATCTTCGTGTAGAAAGCAATAAAACTGTGTTCGCTCGTAAACGGGCACCACCAGGACCCATTTCCTGCTCAAATAAAATTAAAGGTGATGGATGGAGCCAGCGGCAGCGGGGGAGCGGGGGGCAGCTTGTGCTGAGTGATGGGCCCTGTCCGGCGCCTGGCTCCGGGGGGTCTAGGGCGCAGCCCAGGCTGGCTGATACACAGCCTCCCAAACCTCTGGGAGGCAGGGGACGGGGAGGTATTCCGGGAGGTGGGGGAGGTAAATAGGGTGAGAAAAAAACTAACAGCAGCCGTTTTTCAAGAACCTGCAATCCTCCCAACACCCCCATCACCTGGCTCCATCCCATGTCCCAGGTGAGCCAGCTGAAGCACAGGGAGGTCTGAGGATTCCCCCAGCTCACACGGCCGCTCAGAACAGCAGCCAGCACAACCACTGGATTGTAAGACTCGGCTTTTCCATCTCTGGAAAGAGGGCAGGCAGCTCACTGCTCTCCCTCAAGCTGTGCCCAGCCAGCAGACGCCCCAGCCATTCACCTGTCTCCATGCCCAGGAATACACATGTGCACACCCACACATGTGCGCGCGCGCGCGCACACACACACACACACACACACACACACACACACACGCTCATGCTCATGCTCACACACTCAGGGAAGCTGGGATAGCAGTTAAGCCAGACCCCTGACTGAGTCCTGGGTCTTCTATTTACTAGCTGTGTGAGCTTGGGAAAGGCACTCAGCATCTCTGTGCCTCGGTTTGTGCCTCTGTGAAACGGGAAGACAGTCAGAGTACTGGCCTCACAGAGTTGTTGTGAGGATCACATGAGTTTAGGTGTGTAAAGTGCTTACAACAGGCCACAAGGTGCTATGTGAAGGGCCCTGTTGTAGCCAGGCTCGCCCTGTGCACCTCAGGGAGGTGGTGTCCCGGGGGTGGAGAAGGGGAGCAGCTGTAGGACTCCTGCTGCGGCTTCATATGACCTCAGTCCTGAGTGCTGAGGCGAGGCTCATGCCAGGCCCTGCCAGGTGAGCTGATGTTCAGCTAAAGGGCGCCTCGTCCTGGAAGGCCGCTGGCAGGGCCTCATTTTCACACTTGCTTCTGGGCTGGTTTCTGCTTGGTCTCAGGTCCCCTCGGGCACAGTGGTTACTAGTAAGATCACAGGCTGGGTTCAAATCCTGGCTTTGCCGTTTACCACATCCTTTGGAGCAAGTAGCTTAAACTTTCTGGGGTCTCAGTTTCCTCATCTTTACAAGAAGCATAACCAGGGGGTAGTAGTAAAGATTAAATGAGCACCCTACTTTCACCCTGGCACATAGTAGGTACTCAATAACTATCAGCCCTGACTATAATCATTGTTACGAGAGAGTGTCTTTTCTCCCCTGATTGGGACTGAGCTCCTGGAGGCAGGGTGCTGTCTTCGTTAACCTCCCTGACACCTGAGATAGATGGGTAGTGTGGGGGTGCATTAACTACCCCTCCAGTCAGAGACCCCCATGCAGCCTCTGTAGGTCTCTGTACTCCAGTGACCCCTCACTTATCTGGTCACACCTTTCCCCATGCAGGGTGTCCCCTGCAGGCAGGAGTGAGCTAGGAGGCCTTAGGGACAGCTCCCCAATGCCCTCACCACTACTCCCACTGGGTCCATCTGCCTGGCGAAGCCCTGAAGAGTTAGGAGGTGGCTACAGGCCACCACCAGGTACAGGGCACCTACCAACACCCAGCACACACACATGCATGCATACATGCATACATACATCAGAGCAATGGCACCTCTAGGTATTGTCCCTCGGTGAAACCCCAGCACTGTTCCCACCTGGCTCCTTTCCTAACTACTGGATGAGGGGCCCACATTTCTCCTTAAGTCAGACCCCACACTTCCCCCACCCCACCTACCAGCACAGCCTCAGGCCCAGTTACGCCCAATGTCCCCCACTGCCCCTCACCCCAAGGAAAGGCAGGCAGCTACCCAGGAGGAGGCCTAAAGACCTTCTGGGGTGAGGAAGGCTGTGTCCCAGTGGAGAGGAAGCAGCGTGCACCCCACCCCAACAGCACCCCAGTCTCCTGGACGCCGGAGGGTGGTCCACACCAGGGGAGGGGACTCACCGCTGTTGGCCCAGGGCAGGTACCAGGGGCAGCTGACATTCACGAAGGAGCCGGGTGGCCCGTCTGGCCAGCAGGCATAGTCATCAAAGGTCCGGTTGCAGAACAGGTCTGGGTGCAGAGAGAACAGTCCTGAGTCCCGGCCTGTCCGAGGCACTTCCCCACCACGGGGCTGGTGGGGGCAGGACCCCGCGCTCTGCGAACTCCACTGAGCACCTACTGTTTGCCAGGCAAGCAGACCTGGCCACTCAGCAGCGGCACTTGGAGCAAGCTGCTTAATGTCTGTCTTCCCTCATCTGTAAGATGGGGGTGACCCCGGTTCCACGGGGCTTTGTGGGCTCACACAGTGCATGGCATGGAGAGGACGGAGCATAGGAAGTGCTCAATAAACAGTCTCCACAGGACTATTCTTATACATTGCATTCGAGGGGGGAATGGTAGCTCACATGACTGTTCTCACCGTCCTAAGGTTGCTGCGTTGTGATTGCAGGGTGAGGATTTGAACCCAGGCCTATTGGTCTCCTAACCCCCGTCCCCCCCAAACATTCATTGTTATAAATATGCTGGTGGGCCTACCGTCCCTGCACAGGCTGGGAAGTGCTGAGGACACAGAATGGAAAGGCCTGAGGGGCCCAAGCCGGGACAAGGGGCATAGACATCAACAAGACAACACCCAAAGCACAGGGCAGATATGGCAGCCCAGAGGTGAAGGATGCCCACCGGAGGCACGGGGGGGCGGGGGAGGGGCACCTGGACTGACCTGTGGCTGGGGGTGGGGCCTCCGTCAGGAACCGCTGGCACTGGTGGCGATATTCGCGCCATTTCTGCACTGTCTCCGAGAGGGACACGGTGGCACCCTGGGGGGAGGGCAGAAATGGGGGCCCTCTGGTTCAAGCCAACCTGTCTTCTAACCCCCGCCCCCAACACACCTGGTTTCTGGAAGGCAGCTATGCTCACCCCTATACTACCAACGCAACCTCACACCTGGTTTCTGGATGTCCAGGGGATCTAGAGCCCCGAACTCCACCAGGTGCTGGCGGTCTAAGAAGGGGAGGGAACCAGTGGCACTTCAGGGGGATATTTTTATGTCTCTGTCCCTCCCAGGGGACTGGTGCCCAGTCTGATGTGTGGCAGTGCCCAGCAAGTGTCTCCTGACTGGATGCTAGGGGGGAGGAGTGGGGGGAAAGAAGGGGAGGATGGGTGTCAATCATGGTCTCCTCTGACCTCACCGAGGAGAAAGTCCCTGGGAACCCCATGCTTTGTGACTGCCAAGGGCTCCGCTGCCAGTGCCCAGTCAGCCTGCCAACAGGATTCTCAAACTTTCAACCATTCTAGAAGGGAAATACAGGCCCAGAGTGGGAGAGGGACGCAGTCAGGGCCACACAGCACCCGAAGGGGCAGAGCTGAGGCCAGCTGAAGTCCTGGGGGGCACGGGTGTGGTGGGGCTCACTGCTGGTAACTCGCTCCCTCCTGCACAAAGCAATCCTGTCGGGGAGGCAACACCACTCCCCAGTGTCCCCCTTTAACATAACAACACAAGTCAAACAGGCAGCTCAGCTTCAGTTGCTGAAGACGGGGAATCCTGGGGACCTGGTGTGAAGGGGTCAGGAAAGTTCCAGAACATGGAGCTCAGGCCTGTGATGGGAGGGGTCCCCCATCTGTGACCAGGGGAACATGAGTTTCAATTTTCAGATAAGGTAACGGAACTGTCCTTTTAGCATGGAGACCCCAATGGACCCACCCAAGTGAGAATGGTCCCTTCCAAACATTTTTATGTGCTTCCTTTAGGTTTGTCTTGGGACTCTGTTTCTTTCCTTTCCTTCCCTTCCCTCCCCTCCCCTCCCCTCCCCTCCCCTCCCCCCTCCCCTTTCCTTTCCTTTCCTTTCCTCTTCTTTTCTTTTTTTTCCCCCCTGAACAGGCTCAAGATTATAAATATTCCTCATGTAGAAGCTACAGATGCTGAAATGACCAGGGAGCCCCACATGTAAAATTTAGGATGTATACATAATTTAAAACAAAATTTCACTTTTTGAAATCACAAACATAGACACGTGTGCTGAAATCAAAATAGTTTGCTTTGGAAACTCACAGCCTTACTGGTCTGGTTTCTGAGCATCCCGCCCACAGGGAGCTGAGTCCTGGCTTATAAGACACGGCCTGGCCCGTAAAGACACAGGGTACCATGTGCTGGTCCCCCAGGGAGGGGACCAGGCCTGCCTGAGCCCCAGCCACATTCCTGGAGTAAGCGTGCTGAGGCCACATGGGCCACCTGGAGGATGGAGCTCCTCTGAGGGCAAACTTCAAGTGTATTTGTTAAATAAATAAATAACATGATTCCTTAATCAACCTCAACAGCAGCAAAGGCAGCGGCAGGATTTTAGCTACAAGTGAGGCCTGGTGGACCCACCCCACCCTCCAAATCCCTTTCCTGCGGCTCCGGCCCTGCCTGCAGTGGCTGCTGGGGCTGCTGGGGCTGCTGGGGCAGGTGACCCTGGTGGCAGGAGGGCAGAGGCTGGGAGCATTCCCCTGACCTCTACTTCTGGGAGGAGAGCAGGCAGGAAGCAAGGTCACTGCTGGGAACTGGGGCAGAAGGTATGTCTGGGCCAAGGACTGGGGACAAGGCAGCTGTGGAGACCAGAAGTCTCAGGGTGGGGGTGGGGAGGTTAAAGGCCAAGGTCAGGCCATGAAGGCCTGGCCACCACCTCAGGGAGCTTCAGCCGCAGGCAGACTGTCACCTGCTCTATCTCAGACTGGGGCTCCCTGAGGACAGGCTGTGTCCCCCTCAGATGGGGGCTCCCTGAGGACAGGGTCGTGTCTCCCCTCAGACTGGGGCTCCAGTTATAAGAGGAATAAGCCCCGAGGATATAACGTGCAGTGTAGGGAATATAATCAATAGTATTGCTACAACTATGTACACTGGACTTATCATGGTGATCATGTCAGAAGATAAATAAATATTGAATCTCTATGTTGTGCACCTGAAACTAATATGGTATCATATGTCAATTATAATTAAAAATAAGTAAAGTGCTATGAGAACACACACACACATACACACACACACACACACACACAAATAAGAACAGGCCTGTGTCCCCCTCAGATAGAGCTCCCTGACGACAGGGGTCCTGCACCATCTTGGGGTCTCCAAATACTGCTCACACCCCTCCTGTGGCCCCTCCCAGGACTAATTAACTGGACCTTGGGCCTCTCCCCACCTGGGGTTATGGGAGCCACACTGTGCCAGGCTCTGGGTGGTGGTGTGGGGGATGGGCGGGCCTGGGGAAGATGAAGATGTAGGACCCAGCTCTGGCCTGAGAGAGGCCCCAGGCCAGGGCTGTGCCCTTCACTTGTGGGTGGGGTGGGTCCTTGCTTTGCAGGACAGGACAGAGAAGGGGTGGTGGGTGGGCTCAGGCTGGGCCAGGCCCAGTACAGACTCCAGGCCCTGGGAGACTGGGAGCTGGGGATGAACCCAGGGTGGTTGGGGAGGGACTGGGCTAGTGAAGGTGGGGGGAGGGCGTTGCAGCCGAAGGGCCCAGCGGGGACAGGGTGCAGAGCAGGGGCATTGACACTCCGGGAACAGAGGAAAGCCGTGGACTGAGGTTCAGGAGGATTCCTGGGCCAGAGCGGGACCTGGACAGAGTTGAGGATCTGGCCTGGGGCAGAGCTGGGGGCCACCCGGGGCAGCTGGACCCAGGTGCTCAGGTGGACTCAGTAACACAGTGGAGGGTAAACAGCCTGGCTTTGGGCTCAGACCTGGGCCTGACATGGAATTAATTAATTAACCCCCATAAATTGTTTGTGACCTTGTGCAAGAATTGTAACTCCAGCCTCAGTTTTCACCTGTGCAAAATGGGAATAACAGTCCCTCCCCACCCAGGCTTGTTGTGAGGAATGGGTGAGTGAATGCTGAGAGCGGTCCCTGGCAGGGAAATGCCCGGTCAACGGCACGCCTCGGGATTTCTGCTGTTTGTGGGAGGAGCAGTGGAACAAGCAGCCTGGCTTCCTGGGGAGTCTGGGCCCCACCCCTCCATCACTTTTAGGATCAACACCCTCCCCAAAGCAGAAAGCAAACATACTTTCACCCAAGGATCAAGCAGCCAAGAGGGGATGCAGGGGACTCCATGTCCAAGGGAGGGAACAGTGAGGAGGGCCAAGGCCCTGTCCACGAGCCCCAGCCCCACTGCATCCTCCCCTGGCATGAGGCCCCGCCCCAAGCCAGCGAGGTGGGGCTTGGGCTGCTGGCTGGCGGGAGGACACAGTGGAGGGTGCCTCCCCTCACAGGGCAGCAGAGCTGGCCCAGAGTACAGGGCAGAGGGAGGGGCCCGCAGGCCTGGGTGAGGGCAGGTTGGCAGTTTTTAAAACTGGGATTTGCCAGGCTTCATGGGATCTCTCTAAGGGGGGTGAGGGCAAATGAGGGTGGAGTTTACAATAGGAGGGGGTGTCTCTCAGATTCAGGAGGTGAGAAAGTGGATGCCAGGAGGGAGTGGTGTGCGAGCACTGAACCGGGAGTCACAGAGTACCAGGACCCCTGGCCTCTTGGTTTAGATCTCAGCTGTGACTGAAGGGGCATATTTACTCTTTTGGGGCCTCAGCTCCTTTGCCTATAAAATGGGCAAATCGTTCTCAAAGAGCTACCGCACAGATCCGGCAAGACAAGGCAGGTGAGCACCCTCATGAGGTGACAGCGTGAGGAGGAGGGGGCGGAGAGGAAGGATGGAGGTGGAAGGACCCTCCCAGCCCCGAGCCCCAGGAGGGCACTCTCTCCAGATTGGCTGCTAACCTGAAAATCCCTCCTACGGTTTCATTCCTCCCAGTGAGTAAGTGAATCGGATTCTTTTCTTTCCTGAGAACTGGTTTGATTGAAGGGGAGAAGGAAAGAGACCTTGCCTCTCTGGGCCACTGAGGCAGGAAAAATGGGAGAGGGCCACCTAAAGAAGAAAGAGGGCTGGGAAGACAGCTCTGTTCCCTGAAGGCTCCTCCCAGGACGCCAAGGCCCTTCCTCTGGCCACTTCCTAGGGCCCTAACCACTGGCCCCTGTACCCTAGAGGGGTGGAGCTGTCGGCCCCTGGCTCTTAGACACCCCTCCTTTTTGTTGTCTTAAAGGGCTCCAGATACACGAGCGAAAGGGCAGGGAAAGGAATAGTGCACACGCGTTCTCACATGCACAACAACCTCACACGGATACCCTGTCACATACATTACCCCCCATGTCAGCACATGCTTACTTCCTGAGAGATGACCCAGAGTCTCATACATGCTGAGACACTGCCCACAAGACACACACACTCACACACACACACACACACACACACACACACACACGTTCCTTGACTGACATATACTCAACTCACAGTGTCACACACATACATACAGAGACACAGCCACACATTCTGTGACAAGCGCTCTATCTCTCACCCACGCCCAGGCTCATCCTGGCAGCCAGCCAGTCACACACTAAGATGTCACACACACACACACACACACACACACACACACACACCTTCCCAGACACAGTATCACATATGAGGTCACAAACACATATGCACTGTCAGACACAATCACATGCTGAGATGTCTCACACACAGTGACACACAGACAGACTGTCACACGCACAGGGTCATGTACGAGCACTCAGAGAAACAGGCCCATACAGCCCTTACCCCCTGGTCTGTCTCTCAGTATCTCTCCCTGTTTCTATGTCTCTGTATCTCTCTAACACACACACACACACACACACACACACACACACACGAGTGTGTATAGAGGCAGGCGGCAGCTAAGGCATCAGAGGGCAGGATGTGATTTGCTGGTTGCTCCTGCCCCGGCAGCCACCTGGGCCCATGTCCAGGAGTGAGCCCAGCTCAGAACAACATCCACGCTGACCGCGGTGCACCCTGGACTCCCTCCGTCCTCCACTGGGGTGCAGAGCTGGGCCCCCACAGCCCCTCTCCAAGCCCTATTCTGCTGCCTCGGGGAAGGCTTCCGATTCCCGAGGACAAATGGGTCAGTTCTGCCAAGTGGCCGAAGCTGCCTTAGGTGCCAGTGTCTCCGTGCCCTCCATACCCTAGTTACAGATAAGGAAGCTGAGGTTCGGGATGGTCAGGTGTCCCATCCAAGATCACCAGCTGGTAGACTCAGTATGTGAACCAGGTTTGTCTGGTTCTAATTTGGGTGTCAAAGGCCTCCCCGTCCCCCAGCAGAGAAGCTCCCTCACAGGGGCTTGGGGCAGGGTGGGTGGGCCTTCCCAGCAGCAATGGAGAGGCCTACGGTCCTTCCTCAGAGCTCACCCCCCTGCCTGCAGGGGCTGCTTCCTGACCTGACCGCGGAGCTCCCTGTGGGACCTGCCTTCAGTCCAACCTGGGCAGCCAGGTACTGGGCGCCAGCCCGGCCCCGCTCCTCTCTGATCCTGAACCGCGGGGCCACCTTACACAGGGAACCTTCTTTTCTGAGCTCCCCGCCCCCATCAGTGGCCTGGAGGGGGTAACACTAGTCTTGCCAACCTCATGAACAGAAAATAGAATGTAAAATTTACCTTCTTTTCGTCTTATATGCAGACATGAGGCTGTCACAATTATTGCGGTCTCATCTCAAAGTCCCTGTCCCTCACATCTCCACGGTAGCCAGGGATACTCAGGGCCCCCCAACAAGAGCACGCCCCAGGTGGCACCATCTCTGCTCAGAGCCTGGCTCACCCTGCCCTTCCCTGCCCCCAGCCTTGCTATGGCCCCAGGATATTGGGCTTTAGCCTTCGCCCAGGGCTGAGGGGATCAGAAGGAAGGGCAGGTTCAAGGAGCCTGTCTCCTCTGGGGAAAGGAAGGAACTTTGGGGAGAAGACAGGTAGCCTCCAGAACCTCTCCTCTTCCCTGAATCCAAACCCGTCTACACACCCGGCCTGGAGCAGGATGGAGCCCCACCCCACCTTCGCCCAAGAGAGGAGGTGAAGGTGAGGGAGAGGCAGGTCATGGGCCTGCAAGTGCACCAGGGAAGCCAAGGCCTGGCTGAGGGGTTGGAGGAGATGCTGTGTGTGCCTGTGGGAGTGAGGGGGGTGGAGGTAGGGGGGTGTCTCCTCTGGCCAGAGGCAGTAGCTGGGCTGGGGGACAGGGACACAGAGGGCATCTGGAAAGGAACTTGGGGGCTGAAAATGGGCTGGCACCTTAGCTGGGAGGCACATCTGTCTACATCTGGATTCTAAGGGGTGGAGTAGGCCCCCACCAGGGCAACAGCCCCTCATCCTGCCTCCCACCTGTGCCGGGACAGGTTCCAAGGCCTGTATAGACACCCGCACTCCCCGCGGCTCTGGGTTCGTGGGGTCTGGGACTCGGAATGGGAGGCGATGGAAGGGACAGTTGCCAACACAGGACAGGCCACCCAAGCCTGTGCCTCCTCTCTGCTCAAGCTTCTCACAGCGTCTTAGGACAGCCCCCTTCCCAAATGCAGGCTGACCACACGGGGCTGGAGACGGGACAGGCAGGGAGGCAGGGGGGGCCATAGAGGGGGCCTGCTCTCCAGCCGCGAGGAGGCCAAGGTGTCTGCCTGCCTCAGGATGCGCTCTGGTGTGTGTTGTCCACCAGGGGGTCAGAAGGGGGCTCAGGCTGGTGTAGGGGGGCCTGCTGCCTCCAGGGGGGCAGGAGCCTCCAGCCTGCTTGCCGCAGGGGCTGGGGGGAGTGTGCGTGTGACAAATTCCACCTGCGAGGTCACCAGGAAGGACAGTGAGCAGCGCCGCAGGGTCCCTGGGGCTATGAGTCAAAGGCTGCGCTGGGCGCCCACACCCGCCCCTCCGCCCCCAGCGCCTTCTCAGGGTCTCAGGGTCTGCGACCAGCCAGGGGCAGCTGGGGGTGGCACTGCGGGCAGGGGTCGGGGCGCAGCGGGGCGGGGCCGGGGCGGGCGCAGGGGAGAGGCTGAGGCCGGGGAGGGGCGAGCCGGCCGGGCCGGGCGGCGGGCCCGGGTCCGAGGAGAAGGAGTTGGGAAAGTGTCTGGGAGACGCGGCGCCAAGTCAGCGGCGGGCGGCCGCGGGGCAGCTGGCGCCCCGCACAGGGGCCCGGGCGGCCGGGCAGCGGGCGCGGCGCGGGGAGGGTCGCCCCGGCCAGGCCGCCCCGTCCGCCCAGCCCAGGACCAGCTCCGCAGTCCCCGCTCCCTGGAGCCCCGGCTCCCTCCTCCCTCCGCCTGCGGTCGCGGAGTTTCTCCCAAGTCCCGCCGCCCCTGCCGGGACCGCCCGCGCCCCCCCTTCCCCGCGGGGCTCACCTGCGGGCGGGGGCCGGCCCTGCCCACCGCCCCGAGCAGCAGCAGCGCCAGGCGGAGCGGCCCGGGGGCGCCGGCCATGGCGGGCTCAGGACCGGGCCATCGCTGCCACCTGCGGAACCGGCGACTGAGCCCGGCGGGCGGGCGGGCGGGCGGCGCGGGGAGGAGCCGGCGCGGGGCGCCCCGCCCGCGGGAGGGGCCAGCGGGTCCCCGGCCTTCCTCCTCCCCGCAGCCGGCACCCCGCAGCCCGCCGCGCGCTCCGTCTGTCCGGGACCCGGGAATGCTGGGCGGCCCTGCGTCCCCAGCGCCACCCCCGCTCCCCGACCTCCGCCCAGGTGCCCCGGCTAAGGAAAGCCAAACCACCCCCACCTCTCGGGCACCCAGAGGAAACTGGACCCGAGGAGCCGTGGGACTCGTCCAAGGTCACTCGCCCGCAGGACCCTCCCGGAAAGTGTCACCCCAAAACCTGCGAGCGACTGGGAGGACAGACCCACTCCGAGGGGTGACTCCTTACAAGGCCGCCCCTGTCCCAGCTCTGTCCGGAGGGCGCCCTGGGACTCTGGGCTTGGGGGAGGGGAGGGCGAGGAGGAAGGGTGGTGGAGCCCTGCTGCTGGGGAGATCTGGGGGGCCCGCTCCTGGAGCCCCCACGGGAGCTCTCAGGCCTCAGTGTCCCGTGATAACGTGGGCCCATGGTTCGTGGCTGCTCCCTGGGACCCCTGCATCGTCTCCTGGTATTTTACCTCCAAACACATGCGGGCCAGGGGTGGGGGTGGGTGGGAGCAAGTGCTGAGCGGGCACTGATCCCGTCCCCTACTGCCCACGAGGAGAGGGGTAGGAAAGGGGATCCCCCCCAAGAACTGGGACCTGTCCGGGGCATGTCTGGAACATTCCGAAGGGAAGGAGGTTCTGTTGGTGTAGCTCCTGGGGAGAGAACAGAACTTAAAGCCCAGAGGAGGCCTGGTCTAGGGGAGGAGGAAGGGGGAGGGGGAGGCTGGGGAGAGGAGGGGAGGGTTGGAGGTGGGATGGGGGCAAGAGGGGAAGGGAGACAGCCAGTGGCCCCATTCCATTCTCCTCTCCAGCAAGCTCCTCTCCATGGCCGGGAGTCGGTCACTCCCGCCTCTTCCCTGAAGTGGGCCTCACAGTCACCTCTGTGTGTCTTGTAGGGTGTTTGTTCAGCTGCACAGGACAGAGACCCCAGACCACAATGGCGATCAAGGGCTGGGTCCTAAAATTGAGATGGAGTTTCAGACCAGGGCTGGAGCGTGGCTGCTGAGCACCAGTCCCGGGCTCTCCTGGCCGCCACTTCCTCCTGGTCCCCAGCTCCCACCTAATGCTCCAAGGTGCTGCTCTGCCCAGGCCCCAGCCTGACACCCACACTCCAGGCAGCAGGCAGAAAGGGGAGACGGTGCCCCTCCTCCCGCAAGGACACACCCTGAGGGCCGAGGCTGTCAGACCCACCCATTGGCCAGGACTTAAGACACCTGGGCAGTGGAAGGGGCTGGGAAAAGTGCCTTTGATTCCAGGCAGTCACTGGCAAGGTTACATCTTGGGGCTTTTATTACTCTAAAGGAAGGCAAATACAGTTGATTCTTGAACCAGAAGGGTCTGGGGTGCTGACCCACTCAAAGTAAAACAATCCACGTGTAAATAACTTTTGACTCCCCCCAAACTGTCATTGTTCCTTGTTATCTGTGTCCCTTGAATCTCTCCTCTCAGGGATGCTCAAATCCCTGGATGCTAAGGTCTCATGTACAATGGAGTAGAACGATGCTTACAGTCTGCCCTCCACACCCACGCTGCCCAACCACAGATCAAAACCGCGAATTTCTACCTGCTGTTGGTTGAATCTGCAAATGGGCAACTTGGGGATCAGGAAGGCCAATGGGATAGTTATGGGGGGAAATCCACGTGCAAGTGGACCTGTGCAGTTCAACTCTGTGTTGTTCAGGGCCAAGTGTACATCTACCTAGATCAGCGGTTCTCAACCTGTGGGTTGCGACCCCTTTGGGGGTTGAACAACCCTTTCACAGGGGTCGCCTAAGACCATCAGAAAACACAAATATAATTACATATTGTTTTTGTGATTAATCACTATGCTTTAATTATGTTCCATTTGTAACAATGAAAATACGTCCTGCATATCAGATATTTACATTACGATTCATAACAGCAAAATTACAATTATGAAGTAGCAACGAAAATAATTTTATGGTTGGGGGTCACCACAACATGAGGAACTGTATTAAAGGGTCGCAGCATTAAGGAAGGTTGAGGACCACTGATCTAGATGGATAGGTGGATGGCTAGATGGATGGATAGACAGAGAGACGAGAGAGAGAGAGAGAGAGAGAGAGAGAGAGAGAGAGAGAGAGAGAGAGAGAGATAGCTGGCTATTGAGAACAACTTGCAGGCTCTACTCTGCCAGGGGGGAGGTGAGGAGAGGAGAGGACAGAGGAAGATCTAAGGCAAGAAAAGTATTCAGACTGAACTAGGTCTTCACTAAGAGCTTATCAACCTCCAAATTCCATCTATTCCTGTGTCTACTGAACACTGAATGAGGCCCCCCCCCCCCCCCCCCGTAAAGTGGAGACAGTCTGTCCTCAGGGAGAGTCTACCCTGATGCAGGAGGGGGCATCACACAGTGGCCTGGCAGCAGGCAGATTACAGTGACAGTCATGGCCAGCGGTGCTCGGGAGCCTGCCCTCAGCACGTGGAAGACCATCGCCCTCGGCCTGGGCTTTCTCTGACTGGCAGGGGACCCTGTGTTCCCCTAGGAGCGGCTCTCGAGCGTGAAGGGATAGGAGTGGATCGGTAAGTGTCCAGCTCCTCACCGCCGGATCGGACAGCTCAGGTGGGTACCACAGTCTCCCCGACGCCCTGAGCGGAAACCTGCTCAGGAATGCACCTGCTCTTGGCTTCCTTCCCTGGCCTGTCTCCCTTCTCACTTCCCAACGGCCGTGCTTCCTGGAGGCCCCTCCCAAACAGACATAAACCGCTTGCCGTCAGTCCTCCTCGCTGGGCTTGCTCCTGGGAGAGCCCCGCTGAAGACGGTGGGCATCTGAGAGCACCCGGGGGGGGGGGGGTGGCCCCTGAGCCCAGAGACACGGGGAGCAGATTACTCAGCCTCTCCTTTAGCACCTGGGGCCCAAGCCTCTGCATTTGCACCGCCGCCGCTTCTATCTGAGCATGTGCCACCGGGATTATCCTGTCTCCCCATCACTCAGGCTCTGAGCAGCCGCAGCCTGTTTCAGAACTGGCACAGGCCTGTACCGTCAGTGCCCAGTGTCCCAGTGTTCGCAGACCTCCCAGTTCTGTCTTGGGTATGCTGGGTGATGCTGGGTGGTGTGTGTGTGGGGGGGGGGGGGGGGGCAGGGCAGTTGCGTGCCCTAGGGCTGCTGGAGACGGTGCATTGACACGTGACAGCACTCTCTCCCCAGCGTGTAAGGTAAGGGAGCTTCAGAGTGGACCGAGGTCTGACTCCTTTCTTCTGCCACCTGCCGGCTCTCCTTCCCTCCTTACCTGGTCTCCTGGAGGGTCTGCTTTCTAAAACCCGCCCCTGCCCTCATCCCTCGGCCTGTCCATTGGTTCCCACCCCCAGGACCAAGTCCTCCAAACTCATTAGCAGCTAAGGGATCAGCTTGGCTCTGCCTGCAGCTCCCCTCCCATCTCCTTGCAGCGTGGCCCCTTCTTTGGAGGTATCCTCACCCACCCTGCCCGCCTGAGCTCCTACTCAGGCTTCGGGACCGGCTCCGGCAGCCCCCTCTCTACGAAACCTTGGAGAGTCAGCATAGGGCCTTTTGTCAGCCTCAAGCACCCTGGAAGGCCCCCCTAAACACGCTTCTCCTCCCCCCTCAGAGCCTCAGTGGAGGGGTCACCCCCACCTGGAAACGTTCCGTGATTCCTCCCCCTCCTTCAATTCCGCAGGGCCCAGGCCCTTGTGCTTACTGCCGTCTAGGCACGTTGGAATCTCTTGAGTGTTTGCTGGCTAATTCCTTGGTTTCCCCCAATAGGAGTCTTGTTTTACTCCTCTCTGTGCCCACAGCACCCAGTGCCACGCTTGGCACATGCGAGGTGCTCAGCGACTCTTGTTCAAAACGCCGAATGGAAGGAACTGAGGCACTTACCGTGTCCTGTCACCTTATGACTTTCCCTCCCTAGACCGTGAGCTCCGGAGGGGAGATGCTTCTGCCTTCACCCCTGGACATCCGGCCTCAGCCCAGGCCTGGCACGTAGCAGGTGCTCCATGATGTTTGTCCCAATGGAAGTGTGTCCATCCAGGTCCAAAGCGGGTGCTCAGAAACGTGTCAGAAGGAGGATGCGCTGGGAGAGAGGACAGATGTGCTGGGGAGTCCGCCCTGTCCCCTCCACACTGGGGGCAAGGCCCCGAGCTCCGGCCCTGCGATGGTCTGAATGTTTGTGGCCCCCAACCCACATGAGGGCATCACCCTTGTGAATGGGACTGGTGCCCAGGGACTCCCCGCCCCTCCCACCTGCGAGGGCAGGAAGAACAGCCACCAGTGAAGCAGAAAGTGGGCTCCAACCTGACACCAAGCCTGCCGCTGCCGTGATCTTGGATTCCCGCCTCCAGAACTGTGAGAAAGCGTGTTGTTGTTTATAAGCCACTCAGTCGGTGGTATTTTGTCCTAGCAGCTCACCTGGGCTAGGACAAGCCTAGAAAGGAGGGCAGAAGCTCCCTAAAGAAAGTTGAACAGATAGAATACCAGTTCCTAAACCAACAACAGGCATGTGCAAAAGCATAGCGACCACCCTGAGCGGGTGCTGCTGGGAGCTGGCTGTGCGCTGACCTGCTCAGGTGATGTGCCCATTTTATGGATGAGGAGACCAGAGCTCAGGGATGAAGAGCAGCTGCTCCCAGAGCAGCCCAGGCCACCTGCCCACCAGGGTGGAGCAGCAGCGCCCGGGTTCCCCTGGGCCTGTGGCAGCGCAGAGGGTGCTGGCCTGTCTCGGGAGCACCTCCCCGTGCCTCTTCCGCAGCCCAGAGGCCTGGGTTCTGCTCCTCAGCCTCCTAAAGTGGGGCCCCTTCAGCTTCCATTCAGAAAACTTGGTTTTCAGATGACCCTCAGGAACGGGAAGGGGAGCAGCTGCTGTGGGCATCTGGGGAAAAG